TGGAAGGCTCCCGGTGCCAGTATGCGACCTTGCAAGAACCCTGCACCTAAGCCATGGAGCGCTTTAAAGATCATAATTAACACCTTGAATCGCACCTGGAAAACAACCGGCAACCAGTGCAGGCTACCTAACAGGAGTGTAACATGGGAGCACCTAGGAACCCCCATGACAACCTATGTGGCCACATTCTCTTCACATGCTCTTCAAGGGCAGCCCCATGTAGAGAGAATTACAGTAGTCCAGGCGAGAAAGGACAAGGGCGTTAGTGACTGTGCACAGGGCATCCCAATTCAGGAAGGGGCGCAACTGATGTACCAGGCGGACCTGGTAAAAGGCCCCCCTGGTCACGGCTGTAAGATGTTCTTCTAAACTAAGCCGCGTATCCAGGAGGACTCCCAGATTGCGGGCCCTCTCTGAGGGGGCTAAAATTTCTCCCCCTATCCTCAAAGATGGTACATGATGCACAAATCGGGATGATGGGAACCACAGCCACTGAATCTTGGCGGGATTAAACTTGAGCCTGTTCATCCTCCTTGCAGCAAACAGCAAACAACCTGTTTCAGTTTAACCTGATTAGAAGAAAAAGAATTCTGCCTCCCAGCAATCTGCCTCCTTGCAGCAAACAGCAAGTTTCACTTTCAATTTCAGTTTGGGCCTTCCCATGATCTGCTGTTTCAGGCTGCAGAGATTTCCATAGCCTATTACCGCCCCATTTTGTCCGTTTGCTGGAAGGAATTAAATTGCCGGGAGGCAGAAGCCAAAGGTTGGGGGCTGGTGGGTGGGCAGGGCAATATTTGGTGTATAAGACGGACCCAAATGTTTACCCTCTTTTTTTGGGGGGGGGGGGAAGGTGGATCTTATACTCCGAAAAATACAATAGATATTGTTTTCTGCTTGTTTCTTAGTCTGATGTTGATTGATGGAGAGGATATGCTCTGGCCTTTTTGTTTCCTTCTTAGCTTTTTTATTCTCTTGAATGGTGGTTAATGTTTTTTATATCCAATAATAAAAATAAAACAAGAAAAAGAAGAAATCAAAAAAGAAAAAGAAGAAATCAAAGAAGAAACCAGTATGGTTGCAAAAAGAACTCTGATAAATTGAAAGACAAAATAACATAAGTATAAAAAAATGGGGCAAAATGGGACATACACTGTAACAAAGGCAGAGTACCAGCATATCCCTTCTACAAGTGGTTCCTATCCCGGAATTTTTTCAAATAGCCAGGAAGCTATTTGAGCCTAACTCTATTTAATCCAGTACTCTTCTCTCCTTGGAAGAGCAGCTTTTCTTGCTCCTCTTAGCATCACTGATACCTCTTTTAGGTAACAAGGTACCTGTTTATGTGTGTGAATCAGTGTGTCTGAGTGATTAAGAAAAACTACTTACTACTTACTTGCATGTATTTTTAGTTCTCAGCTTGGTATTAAATGACCTCAATTTATTTCTTGGATTTACTAGGACTGTCAGCCCTGGAGGCCATCTTTTCTTTTGGATCTTCAAGGCTGCCACACTGTGGCACTGCTGTGGGAAAGTTGGAAGTGAGGGGGGTTTGCATGGAGTTGGTAGAGTTATTTAGCCATAACATTCTTTTCTCTGAGAGTCAAGGATGTTCAGCCTGCAGAGGCGTGACTGGTGGAACAACTCCAGTTGGGACAGGGGATTGATTGGACCATGTGGGTGCTGGGCAGGGACTTGAACTTTCTTTTAGGTGGGGAAAACCCGGGAGCTTTCAGATTTGGGTTTTCCCAGGTGTGCCAATATGACATCTCTAGTAAAATGGAACTTTGAGTAATTTCTAGCCTCGGAGTTTTTTTCCGTTAGGGGTGTTATTTGGAACCATGACAGTGGCAATCATAAGAACAAAACAGGAGGGGACAAGACTACTGCCAGGAAATCTGTAACTTCTAGAAATTCTTGAGAGGCTTTCAAGAATGTAACAAAATGTGTGGGTTCTCAGTCACGCCAACAACTCTAGTTGCACAAGAAAGTAACCAGTCCTTCTAGTTTAATTACCAATCTGAAGTAGAGTACAATAGCTGAATAGTTCAGTCGCAATTACAGTTCCCTCATGAATTGTCATATATTGTGGCCACGGTGCCCTTACAAAGCATGTGATCATTTTACATCTAAACAAAGCTTGCAACAACAACAACAAAAGAGTTTTCTTAGGTAGTACTTACAACAGGGGTGACATTTAAATTCTGGAGAACCGGTAGCAGAAATTTTGAGTAGTTCGGAGAGTGGCAAATACCACCTCTGGCTGTCCCCAGGAGTGGGGCGGGAATAGATTTTGCAGTCTCCTTCCAGGAGGAGTGGGGAGGGAATGGAGATTTTGCGGTATCCTTCCCCCAGGAGTGGGGAGGGAATGGGAATTTTGCAGTATCTTTCCCGCAGGAGTGGGGAGGGAATGGGGATTTTGCAGTATTTCCCCCCCAGGAGTGGGGATGGAATGGGGATTTTGCAGTATCCTTCCCCTTTAGTGGGGAAGGAATGGGGATTTTGCAGTATCCTTCCCCTGGAGTGGGGAGGGAATGGAGAATTTGCAGTATCCTTCCCCTGGAGTGGGGAGGGAATGCAGATTTTNCAGTATCCTTCCCCTGGAGTGGGGAAGGAATGGGGATTTTGTGGTATCCTTCCCCTGGACTGGCAAGGGAATGGAGATTTTGCAGTATCCTTTCCTTGCCACACCCACCAAGCCATGTCCACAGAACCAGTAGTAAAAAAAAATTGAATTTCGCCACTGACTTACAGCAACAACCAATATAGTTATGAACAGTTAAAATGTTTCTTTTTAGACACATAGTCTAAATTGCATGTCATTTTATTTTATTTTTTGTTCTGCCATTCTAGCTGGTAGTCCCTGGTATTCTTCAGGATACAGTTCATATAACAACAGCATCTACCTATCTGGATCGCATTCTATGGGCAACTATCAGGGTGGAAGAGGTATCCAGATGCCCAGAGCTTCTAGACCGGAAGATAGCGAACATCATTCTTCAGAAGATGGCAGTGATTATATTGAACTACTGCAGCATGGTATGGCTGGGGAGATAAGCAAAAACTATTTTTTTTTCTGTGGTTGAGAAGCATCCTGAATGTAACTTCCATGGTTGAGTGCTTACTATTACTTATTTCTAAAGGTAAAGGTGTCCCCCTGCCCAATTCTGTGTGACTCTAGGGGGCAGTCTCATCTCCATTTCTTTGTTGAAAGAGCCAGCGTTGTCTTCTGAGATCATGTGACTGGTGTGACTATACGCTGATGCTCATGGAACGCCATTACCTTCTCGCCAAAGTGGTAATGATTTATCCAGTGATGGGATTCAAATAATTTAACAACTGATTCTCTGCCTTAATGACCAGCTGGGTAGGTGGGGCTCGGAGGTCATGTGATCATGTGGGTGTGGCCTACTCAACGTCACTCACGTCGATGGAGGCTTTGTCTTAGCTGTTACAATGTACTAAGGGTTAACCAGAGAGGCAGTTTTTGTAAGCAGGGCAATCAAAATTAGGCTAGAAACAACACCAGAATGTTTCCTTCCTGCCTTCCTTACAGGATTAGACCTGTAAAGTGGAAAAAAACAAAAGGAGATTTCTTTCAACAACCAGTTCTCCCAACTGCTTAAAGAGTTAACAACTGGAGATGGAGTTGCAGCGAAGAATTGAGCAATGAATGGAGATGAATTATAAACAGAAAATGTTAGGGCTTGCACTGCTTATTTTAATCGTCCGTCTTTCCCCGTTTTTCATAGCTCAGGAATGCAGTTCTTGGATGCTAATGGTAGCTCGACGCAGTGCTCAGGCTCTTTTGGATTATGCAGTTACTGGTGACCCTCGTATGTTGTTGGCAGTCCAAAGACACTTAGCTGCTTCTCAGGATGAAAATGGAGATACGTAAGTATCTTTTGGAAAGGTCAGAGTTCCCAATCTGAGGTCATTTGCAGGGAACTAGTCGTCAAATGTCTTGACACTATTGTAGTATTTTCCTCATTATGGGGATATTCTTTCAGGGCAAATTTATGTCAGCTCTGTACTAAAGTCCCGTTTTTGGCCTCCACGCATCCCGTTTTTGGCCTCTGTGTGCCTCGTTTTAGGTCTCTGCATGTCTTATTTTCAGCCTCTTTGCATGCTGTTTTTGGCCTCCTATTCATATTCTGTTCTAATTCTATTCTAATTCTATTTCTATTCTATTCTAATTCTATTTCTATTCTAATTCTATTCTAATTCTATTTCTATTCTTATTTCTATTCGTATTCTATTCTATTTCTATTCTACTCTACTCTGCATTCTGTTCTATTCTTAACTATTTTATTCTATTCTCTGTTATATAGGAATTGCCAGGCATGCCTAGGGAACCCCAGAGCACAGTTTGCGTGCAAATTGCTTCCAATTAGCCCGCTTTAGGGGTTGCAATTCTAATTTCTGGTTGTTGACTTGTATTGCTGTTAATTATTGGCTACATCTCCTTGTTCTTACCTCCATGTTTTTCCCCCACAGGCCTTTGCACTTGGCTATTATTCACGAGCAGACAACTGTGATTATGCAACTGGTCCAGGTGGCTGTGAGCATTCCTAATCAACAGATCATCAACATCCCAAATCACTTACAGCAGGTATAATAGGTAGTGTCTCAAATTCAGTGGCAACGCATTTGTGGTGAGAGACGGATGTGCATGAACACAGGGGAGATCTGATCAGGGGGTATACTTGCATTCACTTGAACGCAAGTACAGGTAGCCCAACATTTCTGTTGCTGACTGAAACATTTGTTAAGTGAATTTTGCCCTGTTTTATGACTTTTCTTGCCACAATTGTTAAGTGAATCACTGCGGTTATTTAGTAAGACGGTCGTTAAGCGTATCTGGCTTCCTCACTGACTTTGCTTGTCAGAAAGGTCGCAAGATGAGTATGAGCCACAGTGGCGCAGTGGTTAGAGTGCAGTACTGCAGGCTACTTCTGCTGACTGCGGGCTGCCTGCAATTTGGCAGTTCGAATCTCGCCAGG